CTTGTACATTTTACTAAAAAGAAGGAATGTTGACTGTACTTCCAAATTTACTAAGTGCATCTACACAAAATGTGGCAAGCTTTAAGTAAAGTGTAAAAGGGGTTGGTCCTACTGGAGAAGGAATGTTGACTGTACTTCCAAATTTACTAAGTGCATCTACACAAAATGTGGCAAGCTTTTAGTAAAATGTACAAGGGGTTGGTCCTACTGAAGAAGGAATGTTGACCTTAATTCCAAATTTACTAAGTGCATCTACACAAAATGTGGCAAGCTTCAGTAGGACCAACCCCTTGTACATTTGGTGAATATTGCTTAATTTTTCTTTGTTAAATTAATGTTTACTTTTATAGTAATGGATAATTTCCCTATCGAAAAAGTTAAAAAAATTTTATGCCTTTATTAATTTATTAAACAACAAATTCTATTAAGTGTGTGCTATGTTAATGCATAATTTGTCAATTTTTTTCTTCATTTTTGAGCCTTAAAGTGGATTTATCAACTGTCCCCTTTTTTATCCCTCTTTCACACACCATCTAACATTAAATCAGGAAAATAAAACCCTTGTCCTATTATTTTTAATTTTCTCTCCACATTATACATCCCAGTTAAGTATTGTATTTTGTTTTACTTCCGGAAAAATAGAAATAGTTTATAAATTTTGAATATTTTCTTACAGATAAATCAGTTTGTAAAAATAAATAATATTAATAATAATCCTCTCAATTTTTTCTCTCAATTACTAAAAAAAAACATTACAATCAGTGAGTACCCACAAACGTACCTTTTTTTTTTTCATCCATATGTAAGAGGGAAGAAAATATTTTTTCATTATGGTCATTTAGGTACATCTGTTAGATAAACTATATTTAACTATACTTAAGATACTCTAAAGTATTTATCTGTAGGCAGGATTTGTCTTTTTATATCTAGATCAGTTATTGAAAAGTTTCCTAAAGAACTTGATGCAGACGACATGAAGAAAGGTGGAACGCCTCTTCACTGGACTAAAACTGTGGATGTGAGTAAAACCTTTTATTTTTTTAAACTGTCCTCTTCCTACATTGTCAGTAAATGTTTTTATGAAATTAATTAGAGATTAAATCAATGTCTTGTTTAATGTAAATCGTACTAAAATTTCAATGAGATTTTTATTTCTATAAACAATAATTAGTTTCCAACTGAACCATCATCTGTTTGGTCTCGCACTGGAAAGGCTTGTGTAAATGTGGTGAAAAATATTGATATTTTTCAGATCAGACATATTTTTACCAGAAACTTTTAAGATAGACACTCAGTTCCTGTTACCTACTTCTTTTTTCACCCTGTCTTTTTCTTCTAGTGGCTTATCAGTAAGCTAGAGGGCTTTTAGTTCTAAAATGTAGGGTTTGAGTCCTTATGATGAACACAGCACAGATAGTGCTTCATATATCTTTGAACTTAACTTACTGGTGTAGTGTTTGTAGTCTACTCCAGAGTGATCCTACTGGTGTAGTGTTTGTAGTCTACTCCAGAGTGATCCTACTG